TGCCCATGCAGGGGACACAGGTTTATGCCCCGGTTCGGGAGGATCCCACATGCCGCGGAGCGGCTGGGCCCGTGAGCCATGGCCGCTGAGCCTGCGCGTCCGGAGCCCGTGCTCCGCAACGGGAGAGGCCGCGACAGTCAGAGGCCCGCGTACCGCAAAAAAAAAAAAAAAAGATGGCTGAGGGACTTCCCTGGTGGCGCAGTGGTTAAGAATCCTACTGCCAGGAAAAAAAAAAAAGAATCCATCTGCCAGTGCAGGGGACACGGGTTCGAGCCCTGGTCCCGTGCATCACAACTAGGGAGCTGTTTTGTTTTTTCTCATTTTCTCACTTTGACCTCTGGAGATTTTGATTTCATAGATTTCTGATAGGACCCGGGAATCTATATTAAAACAAAAACCTCCCAGGTGATTCTGATTGCAGCCATGCAGCCATTCTTGGATTAGGAATCACTGAGCTTGATGATGTCAAAGTGTCTTGGTAGATCATTGGATGACTGTTTAAAGCAGTGATGAGTTGTAGTTAACAGATGTGGAAAATTGTGGTTCTATGTAGTATGGTGTGGGGATGGGGAGCAACTGGAAGTAAGCAACAAGAAGTCTGCTCTAGTAGTTCATGAGTAAGGAAACAAGGGCTTTGGCTGTAGGGACAGGCAAGAAATATAAATTCATACCTTGTTATGAAGGAAGCTATTGGATAGCACAAAGTGCTGTTAGGTCTTAATGTTTGGGATATTTTGAAATATATATATATATATATATATATTAAAAATATATAAATATATGTATATAAATATATATCAACTTTCTAAAAATTAATTATTTTTGGCTGCATTGGGTCTTCGTTGCTGCACATGGGCTTTCTCTAGTTGCGGCGAGCGGGGGCTACACTTCCTTGCAGTGCACGGGCTTCTCATTGCGGTGGCTTCTCTTGTTGCCGAGCACAGGCTCTAGAGCGCAGGCTCAGTAGTTGTGGCGCACGGGCTTAGTTGCTCTGCGGCGTGTGGGATCTTCCCGGACCAGGGCTCGAACCCGCATCCCCTGCATTGGCAGGTGGATTCTTAACCACTGCGTCACCAGGGAAGTCCCCCAATCAACTTTTAAATATGAGTTGGCCTTGAGACAAAATTACTGAAATATTTTAGCTTTGTCTGATAGTCCTTGCTTTAAAAAAGAAGAAAAAAACATGATGAGCAGCTTTTGGTTCAGTGTGTACATTCCCCAGCACACATGATTATATCATGAAGTCACCCAGTTTTTTGAACAAAAGCTGCTGGGGTGGGGACATGTGTCATTTCCTGCCCTTCCCAGAGCTGGTTATTACTAGAGTTTATTACAGTTTGCTCTGAGCCAGGGGAAAGTCTTTAGCTCCAGAAATATCCCCCACCAGATACTTTTCTTATTTTCTTTGCAGAGGAGTGTGTAGGTGAGAGAGTGGAGGCAGAGAAACTTATGGTTTATATGAAAGTGAGTCTAACTATGTACTCAAATACGGTGCAATCGACATAAAATCTCTGCTGGCCTGGAAGGCATGCATGCACATACAATTTAGTCAGAAATAACTTGCACAGTCCCACCCAAAACACTGAGGCTATTCTTACTTTCATATCCTTAGACTCAAGAGAGTATGTGGGTCTGGTTGCAGCTAATATACATTCACCGCCACCACCAAAAAAACAACTCTAGACCAAACTTCTTTTGAAACTCTGACTCAGAGTAAATAGGAAGAAGAGGCAAAGGCTTTTTCTGTTTGCTTTAGGTCTGCTTCCTAGACACTATTTTGTTCACTGCCTGTCTGCCTTTATGACAAACCTTTACTAAGTGCCTACTGAATGCCAAGGCTTCGTGTTGGGTGTTGGGAATTCAACAGTGAATGAAAACAAGCATACAGCTCTTGGAGTCTCAGTTCTGTCCTTTGGGTGCCTCTAATTCTAAAGTGCAAAATCTCCTGCGAGATTTGATCAAATCAGGTGGTGGGAGAGTGAAAGGGGGTGGAGGACAAGCAGGAGTTTCAACTCCTTGGTAAACAATAATGTTTAAATGTTAACTTGGAAAAATGCCTGAGAAGAGGCTGATTTGGTGTGAGTGAATGTAAATCATGAAAATGTCCAGTTTCATACAATAGCAGATGACCCTCTGAAACATTCTTGAGGACATTGGCATCAAGAGCATGAATACATTCTAATTTGCATTAGTTCCCGTAGCCTCTGTTTGCATCTTTCTTTGAAGTCTCCACCAGTAGTGATGGTAGAAAAAAGAGGTTCTGGAGTCAGAGTGCACAGGGTGAATCCGAGCTGCACTGCTTATAAGTGGTGGAACTTGGAACAAGTTGTTTAAATTCCTTGGACTTTTTTTTTTTTTTAAATATATTTATTTATTTATTTATTTTTGGCCATGTTGGGTCTTTGTTGCTACACGTGGGCCTTCTCTAGTTGCGGCAAGCAGGGGCTATTCTTCGTTGCAGCGCGCAGGCTTCTCATTGCAGTGGCTTCTCTTGTTGCGGAGCATGGGCTGTAGGAGCGCGGGCTTCAGTAGCTGTGGCACACGGTGCTCAGTAGTTGTGGTGCACGGGCTTAGTTGCTCCACGGCATGTGGGATCTTCCCGGACCAGGGCTCAAACCCGTGTCCTCTGTGTTGGCAGGTGGATTCTTAACCACTGCACCACCAGGGAAGTCCCACTCCTTGGACTTCAGTTTTCTCATCTGTTAAATGGGGATAATAATAGCACATATCCAGCAGGGTTGTTGGAGGGATTGAGTTTTAAATTTATAAAGTCCTTAAAATAGTGCCCAGCATTGATAAGCATTCAATCGTGTTAGCTATTTTTGCTATTAGTATTAAAAAGAAAATGAGTCCCTCCTTACAGCTTGTCAGAGCTTTTCAATTAGATTGAGGTTTACCATGATGTTTGAGGTGAATTACCAGCTCCCCAGACTTGAACACGAGAGCAGCTAATGAATTCCCAGGCTTTTATCGATTTTTCTGTTAGCACATCTATTCCTGGGCCTGCTGAGCTTTAAGCCCTCCTCTACGAGTTTGTTCTTGAACGCCAAGCAGAGTTTTGAGCATTTATTAGAGGTGCTCAGAAGGTGTATTTGACCTAACATGGTATTCGGCAATTGAGATACCCTACAGCTTACTATCTTGTAAAAGTTATACTGAATGAGAATAAATTGTTCTCAGTTTTCTGAAAAATGAATGCCTTATGGCTAAAACTTATGTTGTTCTTGAATTATTTAAAGAACACTTCAAGCACTAGGCTGTTTGTCTTTTCAAACCGCAAGGTATGGGGGATGGATGAAATTGGTAGGTGAGGCACTTGGTAGGTTGGCAACTCTTCTCAGAGAGTTTGTTACCAGATCACAGGAGAAAATACCTTGGAGTGAAAGGTACTGTAGAAGACTATGTGGGAATTCCCTGGTGGTCCAGTGGTTAGGACTCCACACTTTCACTGCTGAGGGCCCAGGTTCAATCCCTGGTTGGGGATCTAAGATCCCACAAGCTGCACGGGGCGGCCAAAAAAAAAAAACCAACTATGTGATGTTCTTCATTCATTGCCCACCCTGCATCAATTCTTTCTTCCAAAGGAAATGTTTTACTCAAGAATCCACCCATCTCCCATACTCAGTTCTAGGACAGTCCTAAATGGCCTAAAGATAATCCCATCCTCCTTGCCTGTGATTGGCTCAGAAATGACCATGTGACACATTTTGGACCAGCAAGATAAGAGGAAAGAATAGCTAGAGGCTTCTGGGAATGATTGACCTTATCTTTCTAGGAGAGGTCCTTTCCCCTCCGTCCCAGGGGGGTGCTTCTATAAATATAAAAGCCTTATGATTAAGCTAGCGTTGAATGTCAGAATGGCCCACAGAAAGAACCTGGGCCCCTCATAGTATTAGTGTCCTTTTGCTGAGTCAACTCTGAAGCCTAACCTGCCTCTGGACTTCCAGTTAGGTGAACCGATCCATATTCTTAATGTTTAAGCCAATTTGAATTGGGTTTCCTGTTAATTATAGCCAAAAACATCTTGAGTGCCAAGATACTCATACCATCATTGTTATTATATTATCATGTTAGAAAAAAGTAATATGCAAAATTATATACATACTATGATTGGAATCATACAGTAGTTCAAAGAGATTGGAAGGAGATATGCCCAAATTAATACTGTTTGCCTGTAGGTGGATTTTTTCCAGTTCCTATGAATTGTACTTTATTTTATGTGTTTTCTACAATGATCCTGAGTAATGTATCAGGGGAATAAATGTACAGGAACTAAGACTAGAAGACAAAATGGTTGTTAAGGTTTTGGAATCTTGATTTTTTTTTTTCTCTTCTCTATTTTCTAGTGTTCTTATAATATGCTTAGGATGTTAGTTTTGCAATTCAAAAATGTTTTATAGTTCCTTAACTGAAACTTTAAAAAGTTTTAAACCTTTTCTCTTGCTTCCTTTCTCTCTACTACTTGCGTGTACACACAGCGTTCCTTTTCTTTCAGGGCATTTCTCAGTTTGTGATTAAATACTTATTAGTGTGATTAATTGATTAATGCTTGTCTTCTTCTAAGCTCCTCAAATGTAGGACTCTTGCTCATCAATGTCTTGTATCCCCAGTACCTGGCATATGATAGAGACGCGATTAAAAAATATTTCCTGACTAATGAATAAATAAGAGAACAGAATCAGCCAGTCTCAGCATTGCTTTTGGAAATATTTCCAATGAAAGGGGCAGACTAATTCTCAGCACTAAAAGCCATCCTCTCTCTCTCTGGTGGTTATGATCTTAAATATTACATTTTAAGAGGAAAACAGAAGGACTAGAAAAAGGACTGTCAGTCTGGAGCCTGGAATCTGCATGTTTTAACAAGTGTCCCAGATGATTCTGAATCAGGTGGTCTGAGGCCATGCTTTGGAGAACATGCCCTAGTCTATCCTATTGGAGTCTGAATGTTCACATCATTCATAGTCATCCAGCTTCCAAGAAAATCATGCTGATGTCACCGGGCCTATTTAATGTGAATCAGTCTTTATTCTGCACTTGTGTGGTGCATTAACAAATTCAACATACAAGATAGCATTACATATTGTAGGTTAGCGTTACAGCATTATGCAGTTTCACACAATTCATGTTAGCTTTTTCGTTTTTTTCGTTTTTTTTTTTTTTTTTTAATTTGACACGTTTATTTTATTTTTGAGTTTCATTTTTACAAGAGAAGACACAAGGTAAAGAAAGACGACCACATCAGAGAAGGAGCATGGTGAGGGCAATGTCACTATCGTGGCCATAATAAAAGCCTTCCAAGAAAAAGGACTTGCATTATTCCCTCTCCTGAGCAAGCCGCCCCTGTCCCATGAGCCAGTTCTATCTGTTTGCACATCCAGAGCACCACTCACGAACATGTACATCTTGGCTGTGCTCCACTGAGAAGAACTGAAGGAAGGACTAACTCATAAAAGGGACTTTTGTTATTAAGAAAAACTCTTGTCTTCCCAAAGGAATCAAGATATCAGCAGAGAAGGACTGACTCTTGGAAAATCAGAAGTGACCATTCCCTAACCTATTCCTGACCATGAGTGCCTTGTGCAAAAGCTAGAATGTGACTCTCTTGTCTTTTAACTGACTCTTAGGAGTAGGCATTCCTCCTCCACCCTTATCCGTTAGCTCTGGGAGGAACAAATGTGAAAGCCAAAGCCAGCTAAGAAACTTTGGGACAGCAAAGTCAAGGGCACGATGGATCAGGCCTGAGGTAGGAGGGAGGAACCCTGTACTGTCTGCCTCTTTGCCATTTTTCTGAGAAAGACACCGAGGCAGCTCCTAGGCTACAGAACTACTGGTTCCTTCCCTGCCACCTCACCACCCACTGCTCAGTAGACCCAAAGAATGCAAGGAATAAAGCTACAAGGAGGTGGGGAAGAGAGGAGTTGGGTGAGGCTGCTTTCCCAGACTTATGTCAGGAGGAGCTACAGAGGCACACACAGCAGGGCAAAGGCCAGACTATCTCCACCTGTTGCTTTGCATTGTTTCTGGGAAGGAAACAAAAGCGGGTTGCTCAGCGATTTCTGATCTTTAGACATTAAGGCGATGAAGAGGAACCATTTAAAATTTTTCCTAATGGGGCTTCAGAGTGCTCCTGTCAGATTTACATGAAACTATCTCAAAATGCATTTTTAGAAAACAAAAATTATTTTCTTCTACGTATGATACAGTATTTACATTCCATGGAGTGTTGGATAGAGACTGGTGGTGTGAACCCAACTGATGATGAGATTGTGAGTCAGATTATGGGGGATGTGGGATGACAGGGACAAGAACAGAGAGTGGGCTTTGTGCCTGCTCAGAACTGCTGCTCTGCATTGTCAAGAATCCAGGTTAAAAAAAAAAAAGAATGGGGGGTGGGCGGGGAACAGATTGGTTTTAAATCCACAGAGTTAAGGGAATGTCAAAGGCAACATCACCACTCTCCACGGAGACTCAGCTCTTCAACTCCCTTCTCAGAAGCAAGTCAGATAGTGATGTTCTTGTATGAATGTGGAATTTCCATCTTGGATAATCTTTCAGGCCTTGGTTCAAGCTGCTGCTTATTTGAGTTCCTTTTCAGGCTGGCAAAAATATCTACTGCCTATCCAGGCTTACTTATTGTCAGTGAAGTCTCTGCCATCTGAAAAGTCTCAACTCTAAGAGACATGGCTGGTCTAGGAATAAGGAGATGTGAATTCTAATCCCAGCAAGATGCTGAATCTCTCAACCTCTATTGTCCACTGGCAGAGGAGGATTGAACTCTGTGGTTACCCATACCTTCATATTATCTTGAGATTCAGAAGTCCTAAGAACTAAGCACTTTGTTTTCAGGGAAAGGATGTTCTGAAAAAGTCCAAGTTATCTTTATTACTAATTTAGTCACAGGTACTCATTTAGTTATTTTTAAGAGCCATGATTGAAAAATTTAAAGAGAAAGAATAATTTCTGAAGTCCCTTTTCCTTATAAAGCAAAACTAACCTCATCTAAGCTACTTGAGAAGACTTTAAAACTTCTCAGTTTTCAGCATTTCTGGAAAAACAAAGGCCAGTTTAATCCTTCAAAACTCTGATGATTTCTAAACTATCAACCAACGAACGGCTGTCCTTCCAGACACAGTTACAAAGGGAGATGGCAGTCATCTCATTTTCCTTTCCTTGTCTTCATACCTACATTTGGGATCAGCTGGATGTATTCATTGGTACTATCCTGTAGCTGAATTTGAAGTCGCCAAAGCTCTTTTTAGACAAGTCATCTAGTTTTGTAAACCCAAATTCTACCTAAAAGTCTGATGTCTTTGTGTACTTGATCACAAATTAATCAAGGACTGCCTTTTACCCATTCATAGCAGGAGAGCTAATAACAAACATACCTCATTTTGCAAGTACTCTTTCTCCTGCAAACCCTGCCTTATCCGTTCCACCTTTGTTTCTTGGCTTACTACAGACCTCTGGACCTCGCGCTCAGTCAAAGAGCAGAAATGTAAGAGGTAACAGGGAGAAAAGATGGGGATGATAAAAACATGAGGTTTTACAAGAGCAAAAGATTCTTCCACAGAGGTGGGGAGTGAAAATAACTCTAGAGAAGCCCAGTAAAAAGAGACCAATTTCAGGTAGTCAGCAAATACAATTCGGCACAAAACACAATTTTCATGGATTAAAATCTGTACCTTGATGTTGGCAGTTAGGCTAATTTCTTCAGTTTGTATTAGACATGCAAGTATAAGGTTACATTTTTATATATAGACTTGTAGAGGTCTTTCCCTCTCTTTTTTTCCCCCATAAAAAAAGAAGAAAAAAAAGGGATTTCCTAGTGCCTTGCAAAGGAGAAAAATCATCATCGCTAAGAACTGATCTGCAGCTGTGGTCATGTGGGGTGTTCTTTGTGGGGTTTGTTTTGTAAGAAATTTTCTTCTACAGCTAAAATGAGGTTTTGAGTCCACTTCTCTCTGTTTATCTCTCTCCCCACCACGTCCCTGCCCAGCCCGGCCCTGGGGTTAGAGGCAAGGAGAAGAGGATTAGTACTCGCTCAGACTGTGCCACTTGGCCACGGGCTTGCGGGGGCTCTCGCAGACCTCTCTCCAGTGTTCAGCACCGCTGACTGTGACACTGTGCGCCCCCAGGATCAGCCTCCCTACCACCTCGTTCTTGGTGGTGCGATCGAAGTCGATGACAAGGAACTCAATGCTGATGTCGGGCAGGAGGTCAGTGGGGATGTCGTAGATGAAAGACTCGTTGAAGACTGGGTTCAAAGTGCACTTCTTCACATGGGTTTTCTTCTTGGCAATGCGCTTTCTGCCGTAGTAGACGTTCACCTTGACATAAGGATCTGGGGCCCCCAAAGAGATCAGAAAAAGGGAGACAGGCCTATGACACAGTCCTCTCCTATACAATGGTGGCTTCCGGTTGGGGAGGAGGGGCTTCTGCTGTTCATCTCCTTGGTGTCCCATCCCCCACCCCGTGTGGTCTTTAGTGATTGCACACTAAGTGTACACTGGCTGTGTACACGTCTGCCCACCTGGACAAGGGGCCAAGGAAACCAGGCAGGCATGGAACAGAACAGCCACCTCGAGTCAGGGCCAAAGAAAGCCCACGACACCAAGAAGCATTTTAAAGGGCACAGGGACTAACAAAGCCTGCAGGCTTGTTGCTGAGTCTCACCTGGAGCGAGGGCACAGCACCCAGCAGGCATGCATAGCACTGAGGATACCTCGCCAAATGTAGAGACCCCATTTGCTTAACCAAAGCACCTTCCCAGCTACATTCATCAGGAAGAGAATGTAGCCAGAGAGAGGAATGGGTGGACAATGAGAGGAGCCAGGGGTCCTGAAAGGTGGAGAGGGGGTGTCTGCGTCACAGGCAAGGGGCAGCGGTGGGTGGGGCGCGGACAGGTAGAAATAGGTTGAAGTACAAACACATGAAAAAATGCTCAACATCACAAATTATCAGAGAAATGCAAATCAAAACTACGATGAGATATCACCTCACACCTGTCAGAATGGCCATCATCACAAAATCTACAAACAATAAATGCTGGGAAGGGTGTGGAGAAAAGGGAACCCTCTTGCACTGTTGGTAGGAATGTGAATTGATGCAGCCACTATGGAGAACAGTATGGAGGTTCTTGGAAAACTAAAAATAGAACTACCATGTGACCCAGCAGTCCCACTACTGGGCATATACCCTGAGAGAACCATAATTCAAAGGGACACATGCACCCCACTGTTCATTGCAGCACTATTTACAATAGCCAGGACATGGAAACAGCCTAAATGTCCATCAACAGAGGAATGGATGAAGAGGATGTGGTACGTGTATACAATGGAATGTTAGCCATAAAAAGGAATGAAATTGGGTCATCTGTAGAGACGTGGATGGACTTAGAGACTGTCATGCAGAGTGGGGTGGGTCAGAAAGAGAAAAACAAATATTGTATATTAACGTATATATGTGGAATCTGAAAAAATTGGTATAGACACATCTAGGTCTTATTTGCAAAGCAGAAATAGAGACAAAGACATAGAGAACAGATGTATGGATACCAAGAGGGGAAGGGAGGGGGATGAATTGGGAGACTGGGATTGACATATATACACTATTGATACTATGTATAAAGTAGATAGTTAATGGGGGCCTGCTGTATAGCACAGGGAACTCTACTCAGTGCTCTGTGGTGACCTAAACGGGAAGGAAATCCAAAAAAAGAGGGGATACATGTATACGTATAGCTGATTCACTTTGCTGTGTAGTAGAAACTAACACAACATTGTAAAGCAAATATACTCCAATTAAAACAAATGTAAAAAAAAAAGAGAAAAAAAGAAATAGGTTGAAGTAAATAGCTGCTACCTGAGAGACCGGTGATATCCATCTTCGGCAAGTGTCTGGCTTTGAGGACCACCACTGTCATTCTTTGTGCCACAGGCTGATATGACAGAGACACCTGGAGTTCCCCTCTGCTAATGCACTTCTGGGGAGAAGAAAGAGCAGGTGAGAATCCCGGCGGAGGGAGCAGGCCACAGCACAGAAAGCATGCGGAGGAAAAAGGAAATGTTCTCATCATAATCCTGATACTAAATAAAATCATTTGCAGGGAGAGACAGCATAGCCTAGTATTTAGGAGCGCAGACTCTGAAGCCAGACAGGCCTGGATTCAAATCCTGATTCTACTTCTCATCTGTCTGACCTGGGACAAGCTACTTCCACTTCCTCATCTATAAAATGGCGATTAAAATGGCGATAAAAATAGTCCCAACTTCCCAGGATTAGTAAGAGGATTCGATAATTTAGAATTTGTAAAACACCACAGTGCCTGGCACACAGTGTGTACCAGAGATGTGCATTCTCTCCTATTCTCTCATTCAGTTCTTTTTTAAAAAAAATTTTTTTCATACCAGGAGCATGTGGAAATGTCTCTCGTAGGGTACTGAATGTGACTGAACTTTAAACTTAGCCATTAGCTTTTGAAATTGAAGTACAAAAGAAAATAGACTTTAAAAAAGATGTTCATGGTATTCTCTGATAGATTGAAACCCCACATCTTTTCCTTACCCCTAACAAATTTATTTATTTGTTTTAATTTTTGGCTGTGTTGGGTCCTCGCTGCTGTGCACGGGCTTTCTCTAGTTGCAGCGAGCGGGGTCTACTCTTCATTACGGTGCGCGGGCTTCTCATTGCGGTGGCTTCTCTTGTTGTGGAGCACGGGCTCTAGGCGCGCAGGCTTCAGTAGTTGTGGCACACAGGCTCAGTAGTTGTGGCACGTGGGCTGTAGAGCGCAGGCTCAGTAGTTGTGGCGCACGGGCTTAGTTGTTCCACGGCATGGATCTTCCCGGACCAGGGATGGAACCCATGTCCCCTGCACTGGCAGGTGGATTCTTAACCACTGCACCTCCATGGAAGTCCCTCATTCAGTTCTTGCCATAAAAAAAGTTTTGAAGACTGTATAGTGGGAGACAGGAAACTTAAGTTTGAGTAACTTGGCCAATTACTCACCAGCTGGCCCTGGGCAAGTCCCTGAACTTTCTGAAGCCTGTGCCTCCATTTCACAAGGTGAATATCCACACCTGCTCCGCCTGCCCCAGTGTATGACCTTCAGAGTGTCTTCTCCAGCCACCTATAACTTTGTTTCCCCACTTTGAAATTTTATGCTAGGCTCTATTTTGAGCTTGAAAAAAAAAAAAACAAAACCTCCAGTCCTCCAAGAACATTTTAAATAATATTTGGAGGACTTCCCTGGTGGCACAGTGGTTAAGAATCTGCCCGCCAATGCAGGGGATACGGGTTCGATCCCTGGTCCGGGAAGATCCCACATGCCACGGAGCAATTAAGCCCGTGTGCCACAACTACTGAGCCTGTGCTCTAGAGCCCGTGAGCCATAACTACTGAGCCCACGTGCCACAACTACTGAAGCTCACGCGCCTAGAGCCCGTGGTCTGCCGCAAAAGAAGCCACCGCAATGAGAAGCCTGTGCACTGCAATGAAGAGTAGCCCCCCTCGCTGCAACTAGAGAAAGCCCGCGCGCAGCAATGAAGACCCAACACAGCCAAAAACAAATAAATAAATTTATATATATATTAAAAAAAACATTTGGATACTAATTACATGCCAGGTGCTGGGGATTCAGAACTGATAGGACTCAGTTCTTGCTCCCAAGGAGCTTATCACGCACTAGAAGAGACAGAGATGTAAACAAACATGTTTACTTGTCAGAAAAGTGAGAAGCCTGGAAATTCCCTGGCGGTCCAGTGGGTAGGTCTGCACTCTCACTGCTGGGGGCCTGGGTTCAATCCCTGGTCATGGAACTAACATCCTACAGGTCACGTGGCACAGCCAAAAAAAAAAATCCTCAGTGCTGTTGAGAGATTCAGGTGGAGGCTTTGCCAGCTGACGTCTGGGCTGAGTTGATGGTGGGTGAGTAAAAGACACAGGCAACGGGCAGAGAGAAGATCCCGTGGGGCAGGGCGGCAGAATGGCCAGTACAAAGTCTTTGGGTGCTGAAAGGGTAGGCTGTGTTCAGAGAATGCTGAGAGGAGAGAGTGTGCCTGATATTGGGGTGCTGGCAGGAGGGACGGGCCAGGAACCCAGAGAGGTGGGTCAGGCGAAGGTGAAGGGCAGTGGGGGTGAGCTAAGCAAACAGCAGAGCCAGCCGCAGCACCCAGGCAAGAGGAAGTCTGTAGGCATAGGTGCGACAGTTATTGTTGTTGTTAGTATATTAATAATAATATGAGTGAAAGCTAGAGAAGGAACTAAAGTAGAGAAAGACCAAAGTCAGAAAGCTCAGTTAAGAGGCTGCTGCAACAGGCTAGGGAAGAAATGATGAGGCCTGGAACCAGGGCTGTGGCAGAGGAGATGGACCTGGGGTAGGATATGTCTCAGGAAGAATTGTCAGGATTTTCTCGGTTGGGGCAGCTAATTGGATGAAAATATAGGGGAGAGGGAAGAGATGGAGGGCTATTTCTTGTGTTTCTAGCTTAGGAAGCAGGGATGAGGCTGGGATAAAGAAAACAAAAGGAGGTGGGATAGGAGGACTTTAGGACATAATAAGTTAAATTTGAGACAAAAAAAAAAAATTTCGAGACCAAATCATTCCTCCACTATCAACTCCTATTCCTTGTATTCTTCATAGCCCCAAAGGAATGTCACCTACCTGAGAATTCTTAGATTGAACAAAAATAGACCAAACTGACCACCAGCCTTACATACGCCACATACCCACCAAAATGACTTGCTGTGCACTCACTAAGTGCCGGGCACTCTGCTAGCAGCTAGGGCTGAAATGATGCACAAAGAAGACCCCTACCCTCCAGAAGCTCATGGGCTAGTGCACTGCCTGCTCAGGTGTGTCTGGTGCAGTCAAGAACAACAGCAGTAAATAATTTAATTAGCTCATCAGTGAAAAACCCTAATAGTTGATGCTCTGATTATGTCTTAAGTCACCTCGAGGAATGACCTGTGATAATATTTCCATTTGGCTTAAAAAAGTTCTTGAGGCTATATTTCATACCAGGAGCATATGGAAATGTCTCTCGTAGGGTACTGAATGTGACTGAATGTTAAACTTAGCCATTAGCTTTTGAAATTGAAGTACAAAAGAAAATAGACTTTGAAAAAGATGTCCATGGTATTCTCTGCTAGATTGAAGCCCCACATCTTTTCCTTACCCCTAACATACAGCTGGCTCTTGACTATATCCATGGGAAGTACCCTCAGCCAGTGTACAATCACAGGCTGGTTGCCCTTGCCAGCCAGTATACTTCTGGGCTGCTTCCTTTTGACGAGTCAGAATGCAGTCAGAGAAGGTAAGCTCATTTTTACTATCAGCCACATCCAAATGGCATCAGGAAAGTAATCCCTCACGAAAAAGAAAATTAAATGCCTTCTAAAACATTCACAACTGGCCTGCCCAATACAGTAGGCGCTAGCTACATGTGTCTATTTAAATTTTAATTCATTAAAATGAAATAAAATTAAAATTTTAGTTTCTCAATTACGCTGGCCATATTTCAAGTGCTCAGTATCCACATGTGGCCGGTGGCTACCATACTGGACAGTGCAAATATAGAACATCTCCACCATCATAGCATCCAGTAGATAGGGCTGATCTAGAAAGAACTTCTGGATTATTTGGGCCACTGCTCCCCTCCATTTCCATGAATAATGAAATGTTAACTAGTTTTGATACCTATCTCTGGGACCATCCCTGAATATTGGTATCTAAATGTTAAATATGCAATCTTGGGGACTTCCCTGGTGGTCCAGTGGGTAGGACCCTGTGCTCCCAATGCAGGGGGACTACACCCCACATACATGCCACAACTCAGAGCCTGCATGCTGCACCTAAAAGATCCTGCATGCCCCAGCTAAGACCCTGTGCAGCTAAACTACATAAATATTAAAAAAAAAAAAGAAAGTTAAAAAAAAAGAGTTTTATTTGTAAAAATAACATTGAGTACAAGATTATACTTAGGTTTTCTGGTTATTTATTTAAAACTGTTTCAAAAAAAAAAAACTGTTTCCTAAATCATCCATTGTAGCAAAATCATCCTAATTTAAATCCCGTGCCCCTTCCTTAGTTCGTTGGGAAGGTGGACAACTTCTGGTTACCTTCACAATAATTTCCTCCCCTAAAATCACTCCTCAGACAACTGTTCTCCATCTGATCCCCCCCACCCTTCATCTTTGGCCGTTTTACATGGGCAGAACGCCCATCCCCATTCAGCTGCCCCTTTGTGATGCCCAAGTCTGCAGCCACAACACCACCTGAATGCCATTCCATTCTGCATTGAAGGCCTGGAGTTTCAAGTCTCCCCCTCCCCCCTCCCCTTCTCTTTCCACCCAATTGCCATTCCAAGCGGCATTGTCAATGACTCTTTGTCAAGGGCTCTTTGTCAAGGGCTGGGAGCGAACTCTGTTTCCCAGCCCCTTGGCCTAGTGAGGTAAAGACCCTGTTGGGGGGCAGGCAAGCAGAAGGACAAGGGGGAGAAAGGGTTTTATCCATGCCTGACAGAGCTGGGAGGCTTTGCTCTCAGAGAGCGGGATCCTTTCTCACTCCGTGGAAAAGAGGAACAAGAGCAGTGGTCCTAAAGAAGACGTTCAGCTGAAGGAAATACTTAAGCGAGGGATAAGTCTATTTCTTATAATTAGCAGGGCCCCGCCCACAGTGATTTTTCTAGCCACAGCATCTTTGCAAAGAGGAGGACTCATGCGTCCTCAATAAACCTTCATTGGGGCTAGAAGTTCTCAGGGCTACACATAAATCACAGTCATGAGAAAACAAAAGAAACAAAAACCTCAACATTCAATCACATCCCTCCTTGTCTTCTCCCCAATACACAAATATAGCTTTCTTTTTTGTGTGTGGTTTTATTTATTTACTTATTTTACATAGCAATTTTCTTTATTGTTCCTGGATAACTGACATTCCTTTTTCTTTCTCTCTTTTCAGCCCCTTTTGACTAGACTGGATGAACTCCAAGGTCTCTTGTAAATCTGAGATTCTAAGAATCCTATCATTCCCATGACCATTGTCCCAGGTCATGAACACCAATCTGGTAGTACAAAGACAGGAAATGGTTTGGGAAACAGTGACCTGAAGAAATTAGGAGTCTAACAACTCTCTATTATCCACCTTGTAAATCACTTCTTTCCCACTGTCTCTTCTTTAACCCCAGCCCTCGCTGAACCACCCCCCTTCTCCTTGTGGGGGATGTATTATGGGAATGTAAATTCACTTTTTTATTTCTATCTGAATAAAATACTAGGAAAAAAAAAAAAGCTGCCACTTAAAAAAAAATCCAGTTCCAAAGTCCAACTCAGAGAGTTTTGGGCATTATAGAGTTTATACTGTGAACTTTTTTCATTAATAATTGAGTGTTAATTTTTAATGCTTCTTATATCTTTCTGTATATTCCTAAGAGCTGAGTACTCTCACAGAATCAATCCATTAGCCTTCGTGATCCAGCCTAGAGGGAGACTGAGGCCGAGTAGGTAACTGCTTGCCCAGAATTAGTCAGTGAAATGGACAGAATCAGAAATCATGACCAGTCCAGGGCTTCTTCAACTGGACTGCAGTGGACTGTAATAACGGAGAGGACAAGAGCTGAATTTTCTGCTAAAGGTCAGGAAATGCAGTTAGGGGTGGGTGGTTGTCTAGAGAAATGCAGTTCTCACCAGTCTCCGCCCAGGAACATTTGGCTCCATTATTATAAGGGGGTACCTTACCCAGACCAGAAAGAGCTCTTTACAGACAGTGTGGAATAGTCCAAAGCAGCTCTAACTGATGAGCCATATGGGGAGATCCAGAAAGGGCAGGTTCTTGGCTACAGTAGGGAGGGTTTAGGGTAGACATTTTGAGGCTGTACTGCTAGGGAATCAGGGGGACGAGTGACTAGAGAGATGACAGCCACGACCCAGGATGCAACACAGCTCTACCCACTGGCACTGGTTGGGGAAAACAGGCTTAGGACACCTGGGAGGCTGCAAGGCTCTGGGGTGGTGCTGCAGGGGCTCTGGGTGTCCTGTCTGGAGCCTCTTCCACGGGATTGGCTCAGGATTGGCTCAGGGCGTTGCTCAGGATCCCAGCCCCGGCTTATCCCTCCTGAAGGGTGTTAATAAAGTGGAAAGAAGCTTGGCTCTCCCCAAGAGCCCCGGGCAGTTTAGCAAATGCCATTGTCTGTGCTCCCTGCCCAGTGTCCTGGATTTGAGGCTGTTTTGTTCCCAGCCCAAATCAGTCCCTTTCCTTGCCAGTGTCTTCCCAGCTGCAGCTTGGTACAGAGCCATCCTCCACAGTCAGCCGTGGGCTGCGACTGCATGAGCTGTCTGAAGGAGTCCAGCTAGTTGGTGGATTTACCAGGCTGGTGCTCCAGCGAAGGCTGTGCTGGGAAAGAACCACCCTGCAAGGAGAGCTAGATGAAGGCAGGAAGTAGAGCACTGGAGCTGCTATAAAGGGGAGTCAGGAATCAGGGGAGCGGTTGGCAGAATCTGGAGGAAAAGAAATGCAAGGAGAGGGGAAGGGATGCAGGGAGATGAGACAGGTCACTACTGCAGCTTCTGTCCAGGCCTTCTGACTCCAACCTCAGAGGATATAAGAACTCTTGCTGTCTTGGACTCGGGGATGTCTCATTGTATCCTGGCAACAGACCAGTGTTTATGCCCTGACCAAATGCCTCTAATGGTCTTTGAAATGTTTGGACTCCCCCGGCCCCTGTGAGGTAGAGCTGAGTGGACCACGTGGCAACAGTGGTTCTCTGGGCAATGGCATGGCTGGGCTGGCTGCAGTGGGACAGGCGCCTACACAGCAGAGGGGGTAAGAACACACGTTCAGAGGGAGCCACTTCCTGCCTCCCCTCCCCTCCCCAGCCTGGCACTGCACAGTGCCCTTCAGCAGTGGCCAAACCTTGTTTCTGGGAGCTCACTGCACACTCAGCCCTGCTGGCCTGGAAGCCTCCTTCCAGTCCTGAGCCTCCTGCCTCCCCACTGAGTCTGGCGTGGGATGGCAGCTGAAGAAGGCAGTAAGAGATCAGTAAGGCATCTACAGGCAGAGCTGTTTCTGGGAAAAGTGCAGTTGATTTTAGTGGCCCTGATATCCTTTCTGAACCTTCTACCCTCTTCTCCACTGATCCAGGCCTCCCTTGTCTTCCTCCTTCACTTTGTCAAAACAAAATATAAATACCTACAAATCATATATCTCTCCCAGGGATCAAACTTTATTAATAATAGAAATAATAATAGTAATAATAATCATGGTTCCCATTTATTGAAGGTTTACTATGGGCTAGGGATTATGTAAATTCATCATCTTAATTCCTGTAAGAAACTGAGACTTAGAGAATTTAAGCAGCTTGCTCAAGGTCACTTAACGGGTAGAATTTAGATTCAAACTCAGGTCTGACTTCAAAGTCCTTGCTATTAACTCCTTATGGTAAATCCTGAAAAAGGAATGAAACTCTAAGTGTAAAATTTCAACAACTTCTTTCATAGCACCTACCATACTCACTATGTGATAATTGCCAAGATTTTTTTGTATTTCTCCTCCACTGAAGTGAAAGCTCCATAAGGGCAATGGTATGCCAGGTACATTATCTTATTGGATCCTCATAACCCATAAGGAAGGCAATATTATCAGCTCCATTTTACAGATGGGGAAATAGAAGCTTAGAAGAGTTAAGTAACTCATCCACAGCACACAGTTGCAGAGTGGTGAGCTGGAAGGTGAAGCCAGGCAGTCTGAATCCAGAGCCCTCGTGCTGAACCACAGAGCTACACGCCTCCCAGATTGAGGAGGAAATGAACTAGTGGGGCTGGGGGTTACAGTTCTTGCATCCCTGAAATAACTCAAGAGCCAATGCTGGCCCAGTGGAGAGGAGGCAGGATGGAGGGCTCTCATCCCCCTTCTAATGCAAACAAGGAGGAGAGGAGGAACGGGGAGAGAAGTATCTGTGGCAAAGGTTTGGGCTTGGGTAAGGGGCCCAAAGGGTGAAGCAGTTAAGTTTCATTTATAAAATGGTTAAAAGTCATACAGATGATACTACTTACATCTCTATATTTGGGTTGGGAAAGGGAAGCTGAAGGGAAAATTACTGATTTCACAGTTTCTCAGCTGTGAGAAATAAGTTCACTAGAGGAAGATCACACATTTTGGATTAGAAATTAGCCCCCTTATCCCTGAAGTGATGGGTCTGTGACTGGTGAGCCAGCCCGCTCCAAGCAAGCTGGATGCAGCATCAGGATGCCAACCGCTAAGTGAAATTTCAGAAGCTACCTGCCCTTCTCTCCTCATGAAGTTGCTTCTTGGAGGAGACCTAACCTGCCAGGTTCTCTGTCTTACTTTGACCACTGCTTATCCTTGACAGCCAAGAGCTTCCTCTCTACAGCCCCTCTTTGCCATCCATCTCATCCCTCCCCTCCCACTTGTCCCCTTCTCTCCCCCAACCTACCATCCCTCCCCAACACACTCTTCCTCCTCACCTGGATGTTCCTTTTGATGATGTCCCTGGTCAGCTGTACCTTGCCTGTGCTGGGGTCTACTCCAGCCAACGGCACCATGACCTCCCCAATGACGTCATCCCGGGAGAAGCGGTCAAAGCTGAGGACGAGGAAGTGCAGTACCAGGTCCTGAAGCTGGCTGTATGGGATGCCATAGAAGGTGAAGGTCTCGTCAAACACAGGGTCCAGGGTCTTCCGCAGCACTCTGGTCTTCACCCGATGCCGCTTGTCAGGAAGGATGGTCATTTTGATGTAGGGGTCAGAGCCCTGGGTTTGGTCATCCATCACTGGCAGCCCATGAGCCTCCTGGATTGTCACCACCAGGGCTTTTTTTGGGAAGTTATAGTCCACTGAGAAGGTGAGGGATCCTAGCATGACATCCTCCTCTGGAGATGATGGAGAAGTGGTTTTGCTCTCCCCGGGGGTCAGACTCGCAATGGGGCTCCTCAGTTCTTCCCCATAGTCCACTTTGATGGGTAATTGGTCTATACAAGATCCAGAGCTAGGACCCTTGTCTTGGCCCAGCAGGCCAGCCTCTGCTGCGTCCACCAACAGGTTCCCGCGTCCACCTTCTCTCGTAGGGCCATCTTTGTCTCTCCGCACTTTGATGATTTTCTTCTTGTTGCTGAGGGTCTCTGGGTATATGCTGATGCCTTTGAGCATATGAATAAACTTGTATGGTGGGTTCTTGTGCTTCTTCTCTGCCTGCTGGTGGCAGCATGTCCAGACAAAGACGGTCACCGAGACACACACCACCAGCACAGAGGCCCCGATGAGGCCAGCGACCACTGGCGACACATCTGAAGGTGGAGACCAGAGACGTGTCAAGGCAGGTGGACCTCAACCCCTGCCCATTGCACCCCTGCTTAGTGCTTCTGGCTGGAGCCAAGCTAATCTGTAACCTAGTCTCCAAAGCAAAACTTGCTCATCTGGGCTTATGAACTTCTCCCCTCTCTTGGAGATTCCCTCACCCATCCTCTCCAACCAATCCACGGCTCTTCCTTTCCACCAAACATGGATGAAATACTTATCTTCTCTGGAAAGCCTCCCCTGAAGTGCCCCACCTGACTGCCTGTTCTTTTCTTGGCCTTCCCTCAGCACTTATGGTTTGCTCATATTGATTTGTGTTTCACATAAACCCACCCTATAGGTCGGCTACAGGTCGACTAAGGTGTTATAGGTCACCTTTTTACAGGAGAACCCATTTACCTCAACTGTTACACAAGGGTATGAACTGTGTCTGGTTTCAGGAGGATAGTCCACAGCATCCAGCACAGGGTTTGCCACAGTGGGCTTGTGTGGACTGACTGACAGGTAGGGTAGAAGGATGTGGGGTTGATTTTGGATGGTTTTGGTAGGGTGCCCAAGGGTGATAAAAGTAGGTGGGTGGTGAGAAGTAGAAGAACTCTGCGTCTAAGTACTTGAAATATGTTCCAAATTTCAGCTCCCAGGTATTTAAAATACTTGTATTTTAAGATAAAATAATAAAATAAATAAAATAATTAAAATACTTGTGTTTTAAGATAAAATAATAAAATCTTTTAGTATGAAATACAAGTATTTTAAATAGGGAGAAATAGGGACTGTGGAAAATGTCAGACCTTGTCACCTTCTTAGTAAGGTTTTCCCTGACCACCCTATTTAAAAGTGTAAACTTTTCCACCCCTGAGACCCACACTTCCTGGCCCTGCTTAATTTTCTCTACATGTCTTGTCATGCTTCTCTCTCTCTCTCTCTCTCACACACATACACACACACACACACAAACATACACAGGCACACACATATACATAAGAATATATATACACACACACATATAATTTTACTATTTATTGTCTGTCTTCACTAGAATGTAAGTTTCATAAGGACAAGAATTGTGTCTGTTTAGCTCATTTCTGTATCCTCAGCACTAAAAACACCTAACAGGTACTTAATATATATTTGTTAAGTAAACAAATAACTAAACAGAAACAGATTTTTTTCCTTCCCCTCCTCTAGTCTTGTCTTTTCCTGCACAAATCGGGCCCCTGACTTAGATAATTAGGTTTGGGGATTTCCTCCCCCTTAAGTTCACTGAAGCCAAACTGGGTTTAGGCCTTAAAGATCTAGATAAGGCCTATAGTTATCCATACTACTCATTAGGGTAAGTCTTGGGTAGGGCAGGGGAAATAAGGAAATAAATGTGATTTTAGCATATTCCAGATTCTTCCTAGAACATCCTTTCACCAAGTATATGCCTGGCTCATGGTCTCACTCACTGAAGGCCTCTGTTCCAAACTTCATCTTATCGGAGAAGCATTTCCTGACTGCTCCAAGTAAGATGATATCCCGTTTACCCTGCTTTATTTTTCTTCATAGCACTTATTACCCCTGACATATAGTTGTCTGTCTTCCCTCACTAGGTAAGTGTAACAAGAATAGTGACTGTTTTGTTCACTGCTGTATTCCCAGGTCCTAGAACCATGTGGCACACAGTAAGTGTTCAAATGAATTAGTCAATTCAAAACAGCTTCCACTTTAGGAGTTTGGGATCAGCAGATACAAACTACTATATGTAAAAGAGATAAACAACAAGATTCTACTATATAGCACAGGAAACTATATTCAATATCCTGTAAGAAACCATAATAGAAAAGAATATGAAAAAGAACATTCTTTTATATAGAAAATATATAATCAAATCACTATTCTGTACATCAGAAACTAACACAATATTGTAAATTAACTATACCTCAATAAAAAATAAAAAACAGCTTCCACAGATTGGAAAAACAGGATGAGGTCAATATTATTACACATAACAGGGATAAATGTAAAATTCTATTTGCCCTTCAAAACCTATTGATAGGCAATGAGAGACCTTACTTGATGAGTGTGAGTAAAAATAACTTAGTAGATTAGATGACAAAAAGCTTGGAGTATAATTAGGCTGATTCTAACTTACATTATCAGTGCAATGTCCAGATCACAGGAGGGGTAGTATAATTTCATCTGCACTGGTCACGACACATATGGAGTATTCTATCTAGTACTGACAAGAATAAAAATTGCTATTTTTTGTGTACCTTTGTGATATCCCTGCCAGGCATCACGTTAGAGACTTTTCTCTCCGAAACAAATAACTCATTGAATAGGTACCATTAATATCCCCACTTTACAATTGAGGAAGCTGGGGACTCAGATCTACACTAGGCCACATAGTAGCAAATGGCAGTGATGGGATTTAAACCCTGGTCTATCTGACACCAGAATGTCTCTACATTATGGATAAGCAGGATAGTAGAGGGCCTGGAAACCATATCAAGTGAGGAGAAATTGAAGGAACTGGAGCTGAGGGGTCTGGGAATAATAACGTTCTTCAATTATTTAAGGCGTTTTGCTGGAAGAAGGTCTGATGCGATTTTACTTTGGAGGGCAGGTCTAACATGAGCATGTACAGGCTACAGGAAGACAGATTCTGACTCAATGAAAAGAATCAAATTATTGTTAGAACTGCCTCTCGGTGGCCCAGATGGCTTCAGGAGGCAGTGAATCTCCATTTGAAAACTTTCAGAGATTGGATCACCTTAGTCAGGGATATATATATATATATTTTTTTGCGGTACACAGGCCTCTCACTGTTGTGGCCTCTCCCATTGCGGAGCACAGGCTCTGGACGCGCAGGTTCAGCGGCCATGGCTCACGGGCCCAGCCGCTCGCGGCATGTGGGATCTTCCCGGACCGGGGCACGAACCCGTGTCCCCTGCATCGGCAGGCGGACTCTCAACCACTGCGCCACCAGGGAAGCCCAGGCATATTCTAAAAAAGATTTCTTTAATGAGGATTGGAATAAACGTCTCTGAAATTCTTTCTACTTCAAACATTCCATGGTTCTATGAAAGTTGGGACCAGGTAAGAAAAGAAGTGGTTATATTTTGAAATATTAATATAGATTAGGAGTAAAGGCATTTAACAAAGTAAACCAAGGTGACTGTGTCCATGGCCATACTGAATAATAACAGCATTTATTTTCAGAGTATCAAGTGAAATAAAAGCTGTTAGGGAGAGGTTTCACAAAATGGGAGCAGCCTTAGCTGTAAGCACCTTGAGAGTGGGCAGAAACAACACCCTGTTCATTTTTGAATCCCTGAATCTCTTGCATCTAACAGGAGCTCAGTAAATATTTGCTTGAACAATTGATTGGGTTCAGTTGTCAATCAGAATAGGTACAATTTGAAAAGGTGGCTCTCCATTCACCCATGAGGGACTTCCTGAAAATTGCTTGCTACCGATTAGTAAAACTGAATATTGATTGTCTCTATGAGAAGAGAAAAGCAGGGAACTACCAAGACAAGTATATTTTTGAGAATGATTTGAAAGGGAGTCTAAAGGCCTGGGATGGGAGACATCTGAGTGATCCTTTTGGCTCTACCATAGATTTACTCTGTGATCTTGAGAGATCCCCACTGTTGCTTACAGTGCCTCAACTTTTATTGCTAGAAAATAGAGGTGGAGCAGGTAAAAGAGAAGAAGAAGGATTTTCATCTTTCAGGAGGATAGAGAAGGAAAAAAAGAGAAATGGATGAATCCACTTGTGAATTACCTAGGCGATCTCCTCTGCCTTGTTTCCCACTTTTGTCCTACTGTCTTCTTCATTTTAGTATTTGTTAACCCCTGCCTCTCTCCCCCCACCCCCAAGACAGTGAACTAGAAAAATCAGAGATATTGTCTAGTTTTAGTCAAAAGCTTGGTGGGAAAAGGAAGTTGGAACTAAAAGCTGAAGTGAGTGTTTTCAAGTAGTAGTAAATTGCAGTGACCCGTGCTGCTTGCTCCTTCTGTCCTCCAAGGTCATGGATAATTGAGTGTTGGCTTGGTGAATCTCTCAAGGGCTAGGGAGTTTGAAATGAAGTGCTCTGTGAGATGTGAAAAAGTCAGAAGTGGCAGTTCTCTGTAGAGGAGATCCTCTGTATGGATTTAAAGATCTGCAAGACACATCTGGGCGTTGTCCAATTCTCTCAGTCTCTGACCAGCCCTGCTTATTGACACTTCCTTTGCTAAAATAGCTTTTCCCTGTCAAGTAGGCCAGCGTGACACAGTAAAATGAGAATGAACTTTGGCATCAACTGGAAATTGGTTTAAATCCTAGCACTACCCTAACTAGTTTGTTTTACTTTAGCCAAGTTATTTTATCTCCCTTAGCCTCAGTTTCCTCATCTAGCAAATATATATAATAATGAATACACTTGAGGATATTTGTAAGGATTAAATAAAATGTAGTATGTAAGGGCCTGATAATTTCTTTTTCCACTAACATTCCCTCTACAGCATCTAACTTTCCAAGGACTCTGGAACTGCAATTAAAAGAAAAGAATATGTTGGAAAGAAGGCATAAGAAAGAAAGAGCAAGAAGAAAAATCATGAGGTGCTCATGTGATGACAAAAGGGACATCTATTTTGGAAATTTAGGACTCAAAGAATAAAAATGCAGAAGGTGAAGTGGAAGAAAGAAATATAATCAAGATTTAGCCTTAGGGAATCAGTGCAAACAAGTAGTAAATGGGTGTGATCTGTCGTCTGTATACTTTCTCTGATCTGATGTCTTCTTCCTGGCATTGAGGGGATAGAGCACACTGGGTTCTGTTCATTTCCATAAACCTTTTACTTGGGAGTGAGAAAAGCCATTTCCTAGGTGGATTGTGGCCCCACCCTAAACACTGGAGTCTGGATGCTCAAACCTTCTGGATTGTCTGAGGGATAGAATCTCTTAAGGGAAAAGGAGGAACCCTAGGCTGACAGCAACTCTCACTGGCTTCTCCCATACAAACTGGGATAGAACTGAGGGAGAAACAAGGTAATTCTTTTTTATTTTGGAGCCAGCAAAGCATAGCACAGGAAGTTTGCTACCCTAGCACATTTTGGAGGAATCCCCCAGAGGAAAAACTCGCTTCTAGAGCTTTTCTTTCCCATCTGCTTCCCTATTTTCTACCCCACTCTGCTCCAGGGAGTGTAACTGATCTTGGAGCCCGTAGGGTTGGGTCGGGGACCAGCAGCTCTGAGATGACGTAATGCTTTCTCTGGTACACAAAGCGGCCTCCCCGGGCTCTGCCTTTTTCGCCCCTCCCCCTCCGGCCTGGATCGGGCCCCCGCCAGCACCAGCGCGGGTGAGTCCCCCTTTTTGAAAAGCCAGCCTAGGGAAACAGGGAACAAAGGCCTGGGAAGAAGAGCCTAGGCGCTGCCAGGAGGCCCAGAAATAGACATCACGTCATCCCCCAGCCCAGCAGCGCCAAGCGCCATTTGGTAGCTACGGACGGATCCCATCATTACGATGCAGAATAGAAATTGCAGGGTTCACGTTTCCTCCTAGCCCCAGCATCCAGCTGACCGGCTTAAGGAGTGGCTTCCTTTTTGCTCCCCACCCCCGCACCCCTCTTTCCCCAGAGGCCGCCGCCTCCCCTGGCTGCCAGCCACACAGCCCACAGTCCCCAAGCTGCCATCTTGATGCCCCATCTCCCTTGCCACCTCCCTCCCCCGCAGGCCTGAGGAGTGGGAGGGGGAGGAAGGGGCACCGCCCTGCGTGCCCCAAGGGGGAGGGCTCGGGCTCCCTCACCTCTCCTCCCCCAGAAGGTGGGGTTCACATCCTCCTCAAGCTCTCTGCTTCTCACCTCCAGCAGTGCTGACAGCGCACCATACAAGGTTTTAGCATCCTGGACCTCCCCACCCTCGGTGTGGCTCTGGCCTTCTCAGCCCGTGCAGCCCATAGCTTAAGTTCGGGTGCCGTACACTGCCTGCTACCCACCACAGTAGGCCCGATTCTACCCACCACCACAGGCCTGATTCTAGAGGGGCTGGCACTTGAAGGCCCTGGTCTGGGCTTCACGCTCTGCCCAGCTGCTGGGCTCCCTTGGCTTTGCAACGGTTTCACCTACCCCAGGCTTAGTTTGCCAGATTCTACTTACCAAAGCTAGGTCGGATATTGGTGATCTCAGCCATGTCGTAATCAGAGGCTATTGCTATAAATGCTTTTGCAATGGTCAGACAACTCTGGGACCTCCGGTCAGTACGGAGGCCGCCGCTGCAGAGCGCTAGGTCAGGAGAAGGGGAAGGTATCTGGCGGACGCCTCCTGCGACGGTCTGGTCTCTGGTTGCCAGCTGCGGTCGCCTCTTAAGATGCTCCAGGGATGCTCTGAGCTAAGGAAGCAGGTGCAGCCAGACTGGTCCTGATGCGAGGTAGGCCCCGCCTTCCTCCGAACGGCCCTCGGCAGAAGACTCCGCCTCTGTCCGAAAAGTTCCGGAAGGCAAGCCCCGCCCTTTTCCGGAAGATCTCTGGGAGGGCACCCCTCCCATCGCCAAGATTTCCAGAGAATGAGACCCCGCCTACTGATGGGCTGTGGGTCTGTAAGGCTAAAACCCCGAGGCCTAAGGACAAGTGTAGGTACTTTACCGTATGAGATCCCCTAGATCTTGTGATTCCGGTTCCCTTGGCTTAATATAGCAGCAGAATGTTCTGGCAGGATTTTGGAAAAATAAAATTCTATATTGCCTGCATTTCAGTATTAGTTGCCTTTATTGTTATGCGTTTCTGAGACCACTAAAGATTATTATGGAAACTTTCTTAAACTTCAGAAGCTCTGATTAAAGACCAAACCTGGTGTTGGTTTCACAACTCTGAAAATTTAATGAAAATAATTTAATTGTATAAGTAAAACGGATGGATTCTGTGATGTGTAAATTGAAGCTGTTTTTAAAAAAGAGTAAAAAAGAGTGCTAAAGTTAATCAGTGTTGGATATTTCTCTTCCAAAAGCTTCAAGTGCTTAGAACTGCTTAGGGAAGTGAGTGAGTGAGAGAGAGAGAGAGAGAGAGAGAGCGCCAGCGAGCAAACCAACAGATCTGTGTATTCTGTAGTTTCAAAAGCAGGACACGAGTGAAACTCCAAGCTTCTAGAGATTTCCTTGACATTTGGAAGAGTTAGAATGATTCACCTAAGAGTCAGACTACTGGCGGTTATCTCCATGATTACATCAAGTTCATCATTTTTGGCTGTGGATACTTTCATCCTGTCGGATTCTGTTTACAGACAGAATCAGGTCAAATAAATTATTTAAATGCATAAATATTTGTTGATGGTTCACCTGTAAGGTGAGAGAGTTGAATGTATTTTTTCAGCTTTGACGCTCTGTCCTTGTAGAAAAGAGGAAAGAACAGTTTCATAAGTTATTCATTCAAAACACATGTATTGAATTTATTGGACATCGACTATTCCCCAGGCACCTTCCTGGACACTGGATTAATGCATTAGAAGCTAGAGTCAGGATACCTGATTCCTTCTGATAGCTGTGTATCTTTGTGAAATCACTTACCCAGCTGAGCCAAAAATTTGTCCTGTGTAAATTGGAAGGTATAATAATACCATTGTCCCATAGGATTTATTGTGAAGATTAAAAAAAAATCACCTTTGATAACGTAGGTGAAAGCATTTTGTAAGCAGAGTATTATACAGATATGAATAATTACTATGGATTGAGTCCAAGACTGCCTTAGCTTTATTCAGGAAACTGCACTATTTGTAACCCAGTGATTCCTCTTTCTGGAATTTTATGAATTCTCCATTTCCTTGGTCCTGTATTCCAGGTGTCTAGAGGCGAGAAGGATTAATTGTCAACTTAAACCACTGAACCTTAACCCCCAGTTTTGTTTTGTGTAGGATAGCTCCATGGACAGAGAAAGCGAGGTATTGCCTTTAAATTTTTTTGCCAACAACGGACATACTAGCCCTTTGGCTTCTTTCTGCCCTAAAATAAGATGGCACCTGTGGTTGGCGCATGCTCCTTGATGCCCTGACTCCGCGCACCGCGACTCGGGGGCGCGCACGTCAGTCACTGACGTTGGCTGACTTCCGGTGGTACCGAAGCTGAGTTTCCGCGGGATCGGGCAGGCTGGTGAGGGTACTGGGTCGTGTACCGTGGGGCGGGAAGAGGCAGGTGGGAGCTGGACGTCCGGGCGAAGGATGTCCAGGCTAAGGCGGTCGGGTCTGAGGGCTGGTGCGGGGTGCGTGACAGAGGTAGGGGAGTGAAGGCGTGTAGCTGGGAGTGGGGACTTGGGCCAGCGCTCGGCGGCGAGGTCAAAAGCGCAGTTAGGACCCCTTTGTGAAATCTTTTCCCAGGAGGGGTCCGCGCTGGGCCTGCCTCCGGATTTGCATTCATTTACTGTCGGTCTGACGGCAGTTCCCAAAGCAGGGGGAGCTCTTTAGAGCCTCTGCTGCCTTTGAAGTGCCGGAGCTGATCCCTGCACGCTGCTGACTTTGAATAGTAGCTGCCTTTCTTTTTTTTCTTTTTTCCTCCTTTTTTGGACCTCAGTAATTTATCTGAAATATAAGACTCGCCTGTACTAATCCCACTCCCTTCCATTCTCTCTTTCCATTCCCTTATCAGCGAAATCTTCAGGTGTTTATTGAACTTTAATTATCAAGATAAGGACATTAGTTGATTTGGCATGGGTGGGGGAATCTCTCCTAGTGTCCTGGAGAAACTGAATTAAGGAGGTTTAAAACTAACCTTATAGTTGAGACTCTTAAAACTTTATTTTGCAGTCCTCTAGTCCACGCTTTCATCTAGTCCCCTGGTAGATGGGCGTTCAGGCCTTGCTTCAACATTGTCAGTGATGAAGAACTCACTGTAACAGGAGGGAGATTATTCTATTCTTGGACCTGTTGTATTGAGAATAAAATTTTTTTGGGGTAGAAAGATGCAGTCAGTTTCCATATAATGCTCTTGATCCAAGATGCATAGAATAAGCACAGAATAGGAAGTTCACACACTCTTTCATTCATTCATTCGAGGAACATTTATTGAGTATCTACAATAGGGCAGATACTGCTGAGTACTAGGCGTACTAGCTGCAAAGAGTCGTTTCCCTCAAAAAGCACATTGTTTTGGGGCAGGATGGTGGGAAGGAGACAAGAAGCAATCATAAAAGTGGTAAGTATGAAAAAAGAGGTTTGCAAATAGCTGCTATGCGAACATAAGAGAAGATACCGTCCACTTTAGGTTAGTGTTGCCATTAAAGTATGATAATTGGAATTGAAGCCAAGAGTCCAGAAGTAACATAGAGAACAGTTAGGAATCTCTTTCTTGTTTTCAACACAAAATTTCTGTTAATATAGTCTAACCTTTTTAAACAACCACACTTTGCTTTTGGATTGTTTCTGTTAATGGAAATACCTGTTTATGAAAGCAACAATAGCAAACATTTATTGATCTAAGAAATTACTATCTAATGATGTAGGTGCTATTTTTATTTCATTTTATAGCTGAAGAAACTGAGATTCAGTTTAAGTAACTTATGCAAGGTCACAAAGCTGGAGAGAAGCTTGACTCCACAGTTTGCTTTCAGCATCACGTTATTTTGCCTCGCTGATTGTAATAATAACAACTAACACTAAAAACTTACTATTTAATTCTTATAACAACTGCATGAGGTGAGAACAATTATTTTTTTTTTACAGTTGAGGAAACCAAAGTTTGGAGAGGTTAAGTCACTCAGCCAAGATAACACACTAATCAGTAATAGAGTTAGGATTTGAACTCAGGCAGTCTAACACTGTCTCTCACCTTCCACCTAATGGGACATTGTGCATTTGGTGTAAAGTACCGTGTTGATGATTGAACATGAATAAGTGAAAAGATTTGAGGAAATGTTATTATCATTAATTAATAGGAAGGTGATAAGAACTTGCCTTTATCCTTTCAGGATGGAACAGAAGTGGGACTTGCAAAATGTTGCCCTGTAAGAAGAGAAGAACTACATTGACAGAGTCCCCACAGCATCAGGGCAACCAGGAGGAAGATGACTTAGACCTAGAGTCAGCTGTTAAACCAGAATCTGACCAAGTTAAAGACCTGGGGTCAGTGTCAGTGTCCTGGGGTCCAAGTTATGGCAGAGCAGCTGGCCTTGAAGTGCAGTCTGTGCAGGATGCAGGAAGTCAGCTTGGTATGGAGGACCCATCTTTGAGCTCTGGGATGCTCACCCAGGACACAAATACACCAGTTGTAGAAGCTGTCGATGTGGCCATCTCTCAGGGAATCACCCTACCTTCCTTGGAGTCTTCCCAGCCCCTAAATATACACATTGGTAAAGGAAAACTCCAGGCCACTAGTTCAAGGAGAGGGAAGAAAATTACACTCAGGCCTGGGTCACTTGCTCAAGAAGACAGAGGTGATCATCTTATCGCAAAGGAGCCTTTTTCAGGAGATCCTAGTGAAGAATTCAAGGAAGAAGGAGGTAAGATATGGAAGGTCTTAGGTTACATTTTCCTTGTCAGTACCAGCTTGCCATTGCCTTTGCTGTTGTCATCGCACTCTCTGCAGTGCCTTTACAAAATAGCGTTTCTGAAAGAGGATGCTGATTTGCTATGGAATTGGAGCTGTGGTGCTTGTAAGGGTCAGCGTTGAACGTTATGAATGGGTGGAAACTTTCTTCTCCTCTGCCATTTCCTGGATCATCTTCTGTATCCTTTTCTTTCCTTTCTCTTATCTTTTCATCATTTCTGGAGGGATAAACTATGTATGGCCTTTTGTGATTTGGTGAGTATTTATGAAGTGGGCCTTGAGGAGGGGCAGTGGCTTAAAGGGAGAGACTGCTGCCTGCATCTACAGAGGTGACATAACCCTTAGGACTTGAAGGATGAGTTGTGGTTTGATGGACTGGTGGCATGGAGTATCTTAGGCCAAGAACAGTCTGGGCAGAGGCAGAGAGGCAGAGAGGCAGAGGCAGAAGAGGTAGTGAGAGATATCTTCAGAGTGGTAGATTGTGTTTAGATTGTGAAGGGGTTTGTTTCTCACACTTAAGTGTTTCAACTTTTCCTGAAGGTTATAGCCAATAAACAAAAGAAGCAGAAGGCATAGTTCTGACCTCAGAAAGCTTACAGTCTAGTTGGGAAGACAAGACACTGCTCCAAATGAATTATGGATAATTCATTTGGAGCAGTTTAAGATACTATGTGATTAAGTGCTAGTGTGGTACAAGTAATTAGGATTTTTGAAATCAGAACTTGGATTGATAGGATTGGACGGATTGGGGTGAAGGAGTGGAGGCAGAATAGCATTTTCTACAAACACATAGAAGTGCTGTGTTTGTGTGGGAGGGTAGCAGGGCTTCAGATAGAAAGGATAGATCCAGATTACTATACAGAGCCATGCTGCTATGCCCTTGAGACTGTATAAATTATTGGTGTAGGATGTTGGCAGTAAGGATAGAGAAGAAAGGGTATATCTCAGAGACATTACAA